AGCAGGGGGAGTGGGAGAGGGAGAAGCAGGCTTCCCGCAGAGCGGGGAGCCCGATGCGGGGCTCGATCCCAGGACCTTGGGATCATGACCTGAGCGGAAGGCAGACGCTTAACGACTGAGCCACCCAGGCACCCCAGCAGTGCCCTTTTTAGGCAGTGTTTGTGCTGAGGTGTTTGGCATGGTCCCCACTTCCTATTTCTCTCACTTTATTATCTGCCTGGACCCTAAGTTTGCCTCTGGTTTAAGAGAGGCTTAGTGCCCTCGGCCCCCTCAGCCCCTCCTCGAGGGACTGTTGGGAAATGTGCTCCTCTCAGAGTGCTAGTTCAAACCCAGTTGTTCTGTGGCCTTGAGAAATGACTTAACGTCTCTGAGCCTGGGCCTCCTCGTGTGTAAAATGTGATCAGCCAACCAGTCTCACAGGACTGGCTCAGTCCTGCCAGATGCCAGCAGTCGCTCACGACATGGGTGCCATTAAGGGTGAGAGCAGAGGGTGGTGGCATGGGGGTCCCCATGGGAGCTGACCCCTCTGTCTGTCTCCCTGCCACAGGACAAAGCTGGTGCTGGAGAACCTGGAGGACGCCTGCGTGCTGACCGGGCCGGACGACTCCCTGTGGGACAAACACGCGTGCCCAGCCTATGTGGGACCGGAGATCCTCAGCTCCAGGGCCTCCTACTCGGGCAAGGCAGCCGATGTGTGGAGCCTGGGCGTCGCGCTCTTCACCATGCTGGCGGGCCGCTACCCCTTCCAAGACTCAGAGCCTGCCCTGCTCTTTGGCAAGATCCGCCGCGGTGCCTTTGCCCTGCCTGAGGGCCTCTCGGCTCCCGGCCGCTGCCTGGTCCGCTGCCTCCTTCGACGGGAGCCAGCTGAGCGGCTCACGGCCGCAGGCATCCTGCTGCACCCCTGGCTGCGGGACAACCCGATCCCCTCAGCTCCATCCCGATCCCACCTCTGGGCGGCTGACCAGGTGGTCCCCGAAGGGCCGCGGTTGGAGGAAGCTGAGGAAGAGGAGGGGGAAGCAGACGCGGGTCTGTATGGCTAGGGAGCCCTAGACTCTCAGCTGCAAACAGTGGACTGAGTTTGGGGTATCTCCAAGCTCTCTCCGGCCTTTTTTGCACTGAGCCGAACCTTAGTGCCTTCCAGAAGGGAGAAAGGAAGAGGCATGTATGCAGTGGGCTGTATGCACACCTGTGTGGTTCCTCATACCTGTGCACACAGGCTTGTGCATTTAACACATGCTTCTTGGGAGTTCACTGTGTGCCAAGCCCTGTTCTAGGCGCCGGGAACACAGCAGTGAGCAGAAGACAAATCTCCCGCTCTCAGAGCTCACCACACTTTTCCATGCCTGCAGGTGTGTCCGCACGGGGCCCTCCCAATACAAGTGTCAGCATCCACTCATGCTGGTGCCCAGGCACTTCTGACCCTGGACAGTCCCTCTCACAAATCCCTGTGCCAAAGCCTCCAGGCCTCCCCCTCACAACTCAGGACCCCAGAGCCCAGGCCGTGCTGGGAACTGTGCTCCCAGCAGCTGTCTTCTCCATCCAGGCCCGATCCAAGGATTCGGGCTGGAGGCTTGCCGGTTCAAACCATGCAGCTGATCGTCATCTAACTCAAGGACAGTTTGGAACGAGGGTCCACGGCTGTCCACCGCTGGCCTGAGCACCAGAGTTGAGGTTGGAGGAGGCGGGCTCTTCCTCCTGGCCTCCTGGAAAGTCTCAAGCCCTATTCTGGGTTTTGGATCAACATTGTGGGTTTTGGATACCGTAAGAATGTATTTTTACCTTTTGCCTAATAAAGGAGTTATGAGATATTTTAATGTCTCCTGGACATTTGTTCTATCCTCTCCTCCCCATCTCAGCAGTTCTCCTTGTCCCATGGCGCAGCCAGAGGCTTGTGGTTTGTGAGAACAGATTCCCTGCAGCCCAGCGGGTCTTGCGCTCGCCGTCTGTTCCTTCGGGAGGCACTGGTGTCTCTGGGAGGGTACTTTTTGGCTGCAAGTAACTGAAACCCTGGGCCAAAGTGGCTTTCAAAAGAAGGAAATTTCACACAAAGCCAAGAAGTCAAGAGGTGGAACGGGCTTCTGGGCTGGTTGGTTCCGCCCTCAGAGCCGTCGGCAAGGACTGGCTCCCCGGGCTCATTCTCTCTCTGCTCTGTTGTCCCTAGTGACGACTGACACAATGGCCACAGAGGTCCCAGGTGTCAACAGAAGAGAGATCCGTGACCAGAGGAAGCAGGAGGGTGGTACTGTAGCACCAGAGGACTCAGTCCTCTGGAGTCACGCTGCCTGGAACGATGTCTTGGCTCCCACACTCACTAGCTGACCCTCAAGTGTCTTTTTTTTTTTTTTTTAAAGATTTTATTTATTTGACAGAGAGAGACACAGCGAGAGAG